ATGGCCTGGCCGCACCTGGGGCGGGGCCCCCACCATCGCCTCCTTCCCTCTGAGCCCCAGGGCCGCCTTTGCCCTGCCACCCGGCTCTTAGCTGCCACCTGGGTTTCCGATCACTGTCAGGCGGCTTCTTCCATCCTTCCCCTTTCGCCTCCCAGCATTGTGCCTACATATGCAAATTAACCGCCATCTTTGTTGGCAGTTAACTGCCATCTTTCTTGGCAGTTAATTTGCATATCATCCTGATTAGCCAATGGGAAGCATAGCGGAGGTACGGTTAATTACCCTTTTTGTCTTTTATTAGATAGGATTATTCCAAATAAACAGAACTCCTTGCTCTTACTCATCTGTTCCTTCTGCTTTTCTGCCTCATGTAAAGTTTAATATTTAAAATGGCAATATTTTTAAGGAACAAAATATAAAGGTTTGTCACAGAAACAAAGAGCGATTGCTTATGTGAAAGTATGAACTTGAATTTGAAGAACTTAATTTCAATTTATGAGCATTAATTTCTCTCATGCTACTATCACAATACAGTCTTTGGCTTACAGGGGGCGGGGGGGGTGGGGGGGGACTGGCCATCGTTTCCTCAAATTATGTCACCCCAGCCATGCCAGATGCCCCTTCCGTCACTATCTGAAAGCTACAAATTTGAATGAGCATGGTCTCCAAAGAGAGTGTGCAGACCCCAGGGGGCACAGATTACCCACTGAGTAAAAGAATAAAACTAGAGCTTCTATTGACACTTATTCTTTATCCTCCTCCCTTGAGTTTCTTTTGTAGTATATTACTCATAATTTACATCATATATTCTTAGGATACTAGTAGATATATATATAACTTATAAATAAATGCATTTGGGATGTTTGCTCAAAATCTGTTTGCTACTATGGTACATACGGTAAGAAAAGTTTAAGAAATGAACTGGTCTAGAAAATGAGAGCTTTCCAAAAGTCTGTGGGTTTAAACATAGAGGGTCAGAAACAGCAAATTTATAGAAATCTTTAGGGGCAGATATAAAAACCTAAACACCATGGATTGTTTATGCAGAAAAAAAATGTGGTCTCATTTCCAACCAATTTCAAGGAAATATTGAAATGTAATTGCTTTGTAATTTGGAGACAGCATATACCTTTTTACATTTTTAAACAGGGAATTTTCTCCTGCCATTAAGGTTACTATCATAAATATTTCATTAATATAAATTATTTTCTTTTGGTAAAACCAACAAATATTTACTTCTGTGCATATATAATTAATCATCATCATTCATAAAGACCTTCTATTGGAGCCAACAGTGTGATGTTTTACAAAAGACAGTGCAGAAAACAAACAAACAAAAGCAAAAGCAGGCTATGTGGTAAAACCAGCTGTGGACCTTCCAGACTAGGAGCTGCTACCTGAGAAAGGGTCACAGCTCACATTAACTAACTAAATGAAGTAAATAGTCTCATACCAGTCACGATACTTAGCTATTTATTTTTGTTTTCATAAATCACATGGCATCCCTTTAACACAATCCACTCCACTGACTTTAGAAGAAAATGTTACTAAAACAAATTAAGTTATAAAAGTATCATCATAATATATTTCCTTTAATACCAGTGCACCCTATAAATCCTTCCTCTATAGGACACAAAATAGATATGCAAATCTTAATTTTAAACTGCTTGATTCTCACAGTTTTTCTTGCTGTTGTGCTAAGACAAAAATCCAACTGAGCAACCATCTGTAACTCATGATTCAGATTCTAAGCTTGTAGGTTACAGGCAAAGCCCTTGGGATTATAAAAACATGGAGTTCGAACTTCCCACCATGTCTCTCTCCTACAATGACATGCGGAGTGACCATACACACAGGGCTCTGGCTTTCTTCTTCAAGATGGAGTTAGACTCAGTTCACAGACAACATGGGGAAGAAAGACAAAAGGAAACCAGTATCCTCACACCCAATAAAACTAAAAGGACATAATCAAAGAAACTATGAAACTACGAATGTCTAACAATAAGGAGATCATCACAAACTACAAGTGATTTATCTAGCATCCCTTCCCCTCCACATGCAGTGAGAATAAAACACCAATGAACATGAGGGAAAAAGTAATAGGTAGCCTGACATTTGACACTGGCCAAGTCAGCAGATAAGATAATGCACAAGCCCATGCCTCTTCGGCACACACTGAACTGGTAAAGACAGACGAATTGGCTTCTTGCCCCCCTTACTTACTACACTCTGGCTTCCATTTTTCCCAAGTTCTTCCTCTGAAATCTTGCTCAAATTATCTAAGTAGTGGTCTGATATTGTGTGGCACAAGTCTTCAAAAGAATAATCCTTTTCTTGACAGAGTTTTATTTCATCCAAGAGTTTTGATAATTCTCCAGTCACAGTTTCACCTGTTAAGGGGACAGTAAATTTTTTCAAAGTTCCAAGAAAGGCCACTGATAAAACTTAATGTTAGGTAATAGAAATATGACTTGTTATGGTAACAGAACTCAAAATATGGCAAACAAGATCAAGTACTCAGAAACTATTCTGCTAAAGATAAGATACTAAACTATAAATAGTACAAGAATATTAAAAGACAATGAGAAATTCCAATTTTGCCTATAATTATTATTTTTCAAAATGGAAGTAAGTACTGAAGGTTCCCATATACATGGTACATAAAATATCTGGAGTTACGATTCCTAAAGCTTCATTTATTACAGCATTTAATCTTCCACAATCTTTTATCAGCATTATACTTCACTGACAGAATTCATTCGACAATTCATTAGCAAATTTAAAATGGTACTAGGAGCCTACTTCCTAGGTTTAATAAAAAATAAATAGTAGAACATATTTAAACAAATAACTAATAAATTAGAATTATGATATGTGATACTAAGGGAAGACTCAGAAGAAACAGGTAAATAATATGCAGCATCTGTCAAAACATGGATATTTGTAGGTTGCATGCAAATATTCATTTTTCTAATCATTCTAAGAATGGCACTTTATACTGATAATTTATTCTGGAAAAAAAATCCAGTAGTTACAATCCAGAGATCAGTATTTTTATTCTGCATTAAAAATGCATTTGAGGAAAAAATAACCTACTATGAAATATCCACTCCATGTAAACTTCATGGCAGGAGGGACTGCTCTCTACCTTGTTCATCCCTGAACCTCAGGACCAAGAGTAGGGCCTGACAAATAGCAGGAGCTCAATAAATGCTGGTTGAATAAACAGATAAAATATGGAGGATAAGGTAGAACTTATTAGACTTGAAATTTTCACAAGGCTTAGCAATTTTGTACAGATAGGACAAATTTGTACCTAAAAGTCCAGTATCATTTCAAGGATTTATAATTAACTACTCACTTTTGGTCTTTTGGGAAGGAGACTCAAGAGGAGACGAAAGGTGTGTTTCCTGTGTTGTACATTCCTGCACATGTGCTTCAAGGACTGCTGGTCTTCCCATGCCTTCTAAATACTCTGTGTATAAGTATTAAAATTACATATTTAAATTCATTTATTTTAAAATCTCTAACTAAACTTTATGCTTTACCTCTGGTGATCATTTTCCATGTCTTTTCTCATATTCTAAATACATCCTAAGTTTTTATAAGAACTTCATAAAGCCAAAAAAACCCCAGAGAACTTTACGGTGAGCTATTAACTTAAAGCTTTTAATGAGAACAAAAAAAGATATTTTGGAAGAGACTTATGGAACATTTTTCTGAAAACTAAACTTAACCTATTCTTTCCTTAAAAATAACTTCACCTGTTAAAAACACAATAACATCCGTGGTTTCCTTAAATGTATTCTACCAAAAAATTTAAAACTCAGAAAGATGCTTTGAATAGACTTGATTCCTAAGCAGGAATGTCAAATTCATTTGGATACAACCACCAGTCAAGTCACATAAATGAATGAAGTGGGATAAGTTTATGATAAAATGGTGTTGTCATCTAGTAAGATAAGCATAATTGTATATTAAACTTTATTTCTACAAAGAAATAATGTTCTTTCTCATCATTCTTGGAGCAATGTCCCACACTCAATCTCTCTCTCATTTTTCTAACTTTAATGAAGACGTATTAGTAATAGCAGCTAAAACGAAAATTTTGGCCCTGACTGGTTTGGCTCAGTGGATAGAGCATCGGCCTGGGGACTGAAGGGTCCCAGGTTCGATTCCAGTCAAGGGCATGTACCTTGGTTTTGGGCACATCCCCAGTGGGGGGCGTGCGGGAGGCAGCTGATCGATGTTTCTCTCTCATCCATGTTTCTAACTATCCCTCTCACTTTCTCTCTGTAAAAAATCAATAAAATATGTTTTTAAAAAAATAAATAAATAAAACGAAAATTTTGCTTACTATGTACCCAGCAATGTTCTAAGTATTTAATATAAGTTAACTAAATCCTCACAAAACTACAACTCAGGCACTATTTATTACAATCTCAGTTTTAAAGATGACAACTAGAGGACAAGGACTTTAACTTGGCGATGTTCATACAGCTAATAAGTGGCAGAGCCAAACAGACATAGGACAAGAAAACATCTCACTTTTGAACATAAAGAAAACAGCACCTCAATGTAGGGAAAATGTCCACAAATAGCACCAGTGTCATGAAAGAACAGAGAGCATACAGACCATGAGTAGCTAGAGAGCAGGTACACTACCTAAAATTAGGCTTCAATGAAGGAAAATGAAAGCCTGCATTTGTTAAAAGCTCTGGAGTTTTAACTAAAATCCTAGATTTTTAAATGTTGAAAGCTAATTCAATTTTTTTAACGGCAATAGTGTGAGCTAAAAATATGTGATCTAAACAAAATGTATCTGCTATCTCCCCCAAGCATGCGGCTCCCAGTTTGTGGTTAGGATTAAATGAATAGATCCCTCCCTATGGGGATCTTTTACTTGCATTTCTTTATTCAGAAGAAACCTTTAAAAAAAAATCTAGTTAAGAAAGTTTGTGCTCTCCTGCCAGCCACTTATGTCCTCATATCATCCAAAGAGTTTTTACCTAAGGGCAATTCTACTAGGCACATTCTACTAGGAAAAGAAAGCAACCTATAGGCTTCTATGCTTAAAAGTTTTGACTCATGCAATAATTATAAAAATTTAATTTCTCCTGGGGATACAAATAGTAATTTTATCTACTATCAATTGGCTTTATTGCTATAACAAACTTTTTCCTAAGATTTAAGATGCACCAGTGAGCCCAGCCGGTGTGGCTCAGTGGTCGAGTGTCGACCTATGTACCAGGAGGTCACGGTTCGATTCCTAGTCAGGGCATACGCCTGGGTTGTGGGCTCAATCCCCAGTGTGGGGTGTGCAGGAGGCAGCTGATCAATGATTCTCTCTCCTCATTAATGTTTCTGTCTCCCTCTCCCTTCCTCTCTGGGGAAAAAAAAAAAAAGATGCACCAGTGACTTGAAATCCAGGAATATAAAGAATATAGAACGTGTTCACATTCTAAAGTTTTCCAATAATTTTAAAAATTCAAAGGTGCCCCGTATACCCTATCACAAATTGGCATACCTAATGAATCATGATCATTTAAAAGAACAGTTATTCCTCTATAATAACATTTTATTTAAGTTGAACTAATGCAGCATCTTATAAAAAATGTCTGTAATTCTGTCATGCTCCCTTTTTAGTGTATATTTATTTTGCTTTTTCCAAAAAAAAAACACACTATGCACAAGCCTCAGTTGTGTGTTTTTTTAATCTCAGAGCCAAAAATCCAACATGAAATACAAATCACCTAGAGGGGGAAGACTTATAAAAATGCTGCGTACTACTTTGATGTTTTAGCTTTGATTCGACTCGATTTTAATTTGAATTGATATGAAGAGCCACTCTTGTATCCTCTGATTTATCTCTATATGCACTTGACTTAAATTAACTTCTTTATTGACAAGGAAATTGTAGGGGCCTGAACTTCCGTGAGAGGTTCTGGAAATTTGGAGAGAAGAGAGCATAATGATCTCCTGTAGAGTATCTATTCTCCTTACCCCTCTTTGGCCCTTGTTGACCCTACATATCTCCTGCTCACTTGGTTGTAATTCACTTATCTCCCTGCAGGACAAAGCTGTTTTCAGCCTCCCAACTGATAATCCAATGAAACCCATCCAGCCTCCTGCCTCAATTACATTTGCAGCCAATCCGTAACAATTATAGGGGCTAATCACCGCTGAATAGTGTCTGAGCTGACTGGAATGGAGAGAACAAACCTCTGGGTTTTTAGGGGAACACGCTACATGCCAGGCCTAACACCAAGCAGAAAGGGAGAGCATTTAAATCTAAATTATTTTAATATTGTTGTTGTTGTTTTTATTTACTTCAGAGAGAGGAAGGGAGAGGCATAGAAACATCAATGATGAGAGAGAATCATTGATCCCCTGCCTCCTGCACACCCCTCACTGGGGATCTAGCATGTGCCCTCCTGGTTCATGGGTTGACACTCAACTACCAAGCCACATCAGTCAGTCTAAATCTAAATTTTTCATAAAAGTTTTCAATCAAACGGGGACATATGTAATCCTGCAAACAAAGAAGCAGTACCTAAAAGGTTGTCAAACCTTCAGTATACCTAATAACTGCAACTAACTACGAAAGAATTTAAATGGCCTTTATCAAAAACAGAGCTGGCAAGATGGAACTATTGGCACTACTGGATTAGGGAGAAAATAATCTACATACCATTTTACTGTTGTTAACCCAGCACTTATATACCAACTCTACCGCTCCGAATAGAATATACGAGTTTGAGCAAGTCCCTTAGACTCTCAGAACTTCACAACAATGACATCTGACTTACCCTCACAGATTAAAGAAATAAGACAAAATAACAGAAATCCCTGAACTCTTTAAGGATTACTCAAATGTGATATAATACTTAATTACCATCACTGTATAATCTTATACCTTCCAGCTCATAACTATATATTTAATATCTGTGTTTAAAAGAGACTAATATCAAGTGCATGAAAAAATATCTGAGCTTTTCTTAAAACACTGAGTAGCTTAAAAACCAAAATAAAGCATTACAAAGAATTTTATTTAGTTTAAAAGTCTACTAGAAAAAAAATGCAAAGAAAAAGTTCATTCAAAGGTAAACATTAACTCAAACCCCCAGGGGAAACGAGGATGGTTTTCATTAAATCTTAACTTTAAGGCACACTCATCCATACTGTTTACCTTGTAGGAGTGTTGCAATCTGGAGAGATTTCTGAGATGGATGTTCTTTCAGAATGTCTAAGACGGTTCTCCCTAAGCTATCCTTTATATTGGCATCAATTCCTGAAAGAAAAAGAAAACCCCACTAGATATACAACATTGGAGTGACCAGAAGACACTGTTAATATATAACTGCTCTAACTTCAAACATATACACACTAAACACGTTTAAAAAGTCATTTTTTAATAAAGTTACATGTGCACACCTACACATGCAAGATTTTAGTAAAACAGAAGGCGTCGACTGCTACCAAATATTAGGAATAATCTTGATAATGAATTAACTCTTAAGAATTTTTTTTAGGATTATAGCTATTTTAAATTGTAAACTAAATGGTACAAGCTGAAAATATTAATTTAGAATGTGATTTATATAGTCTGTGTGTCATAAAAATATTTTTAAATTATACTAATGTACCATGTGAGTAATATAAGAACAGTCTTAAAATACTTGAATAGTCACGAAAGTGGAAAGAGTATGATTATTTAGAACTCTTGTCCAAATACCAAAGTCAAATATTTCATACATTACAATCAATGTTAGCAACACTCATTGTCTGCATGGTGAGCAAACTTGCTGAAGTGCATAATTAAAAACCGTTGGAATTATTTTAATTCCGAAAATACATATTGTATGAAAGAACTTACTGTAATGTAGCAAATAGCTCCTGCCACCCTAAAAAAAGTTTATAAATTTCCAAACATCTAAAGACAAACAGAGCCACTTTTCAGAATCTGGCCTCAAATGGTAGTTCATCATAGTAAGATTATATATTGTATTTTATTATTTTTTCAGTTGTGTAGAGATGTGTGACTAGCACACATTTAATTGATTGCCTCAACACATTTAATATATCACTGTGTTACATGTCAAGTTCAATGTACATGAAATTTTAACTTTGCATAAACACAATCAAAATGCCATAGTTTGCCAATGTTTTACACTTTATTTTTTTTTACAGAGGAAAATAAAAGCATAAAATATACCCATAACACAAAAGACTCATCAATTGTTTCCAAGTATGAATTGGTACTCATGCCTTTTGATCCTGAAAAGAAATAATCCCTCCTCTGTACCAATTTTATTTCATTTTGATCACAACATGCCCACGAAGACAAATAAACCTACTTTGTTCCTTCAAAGCATTCCCTCTAAAAGGTCCCCTTTAAATCACTGCGGCTGACAAACAACAGCAACTCAGTTGATTAAAAAAACCAGAAGGAGAATTTGCCTTAAGGATAGAGAACTCTAATTGCTGTTTACCACAGTTCACAGTATGAAAAGCGAGGGAAATATTCTGTTCTTTAATAAACAAAGCAATTGTCATAAATTCACAGGATCCTTCCTCTTGTGGAAAGCAGAGATTTCCTTTTCCTTTTGGAAGTTGCTCTAGGATATTTTACTGTGACTTAAATGTACATCATTCTAATTTCCAAGAGCTTTTTACTAAAACATCCACCAAGTGAAAGAAGGTACACATTTATATCAATTTTATCTAAACACTGAGGCTCAATTCTGCATGATATGAATATAAAACTGCAATTTGGAGGGAAGATAAGAAGAAAGGGTGATTATGTAAAAAATAAATAAATTGTTCTCTTTTACTCCTGAAATAAAAAATAGTATGTGCTAAGCCCTGACCGGTTTGGCTCAGTGGATGGAGCATCGGCCTGCGGACTGAGGGGTCCCAGGTTCGATTCCGGTCGGGGGCGTGTACCTTGGTTGCGGGCACATCCCCAGTGGGGGGTGTGCAGGAGGCAGCTGATCTATGTTTCTCTCTCAACGATGTTTCTGACTATCCGTCTCCCTCCCTCTCTGTAAAAAATCAATAAAATATATATTTTTTTAAAAATAGTATGTGGTAGAATAAGCTCCATGGGGACTCATGATAGTTACCTGTTTCTAATAGAACTCTCACAACATCCACCTTTCCAAACAAAGCTGCTTCATGAAGTGCACTCCCCTTTTCTGTCTGGAAAAAAAAAAGAATCAGAAAAAGAAACACAGCTGCATTAGGAATGATTACAGGTTTAAAAAATTGTGTCATTTTATATATTCATACATATTCTCTGTAATATCAGCACTTCTCTTTTTTCTTTTAAAATATATATATAATTGATTTCAGAAAGGAAGGAAGAGGGAGAGATAGAATAGGGGTATTGGAGATTGAGCCTACAACCCGGGCATGTGCTCTAACTGGGAATCGAACCTGTGACCTTCTGATTGATGCTCAACCACTGAGCCAAGCTGGTTGGGCTCAGCACTTCTTGAGAGAAAGATAGTGTAAAGAAGACATTCCAGCCCTAACCGGTTTGCCTCAGTGGATAGAGCATCCGCCTGAGGACTGAAGGGTCCTGGGTTCGATTCTGGTCAAGGGCATGTACCTTGGTTGCAGCCACATCCTCAGTAGGGAGTGTGCAGGAGGCAGCTGATCGGTGCTCCTCTCTCATCAATGTTTCTAACTCTCTATCCCTCTCCCTCTCCCTTCCTCTCTGTAAAAAAATCAATAAAATATATTTAAAAAAAAGAAGAAGACGACATTCCAGTCTCACCCATTATCCCAGGCAACATACAGCCAGTCCCTGACACAGAGCCACTTAACTGACTTACTACTGACCCCAGACGAATGAGAGAACCCTGCCAAGATGGAAGAACTACCCAGATGAGCTCAGACTAAACCACCAACCCCAGAATTATGAGCTAAATACACAGTTACTGTGTGAAGCCATTCAGTTTGGGCATAGTTTGTTATGCAGCAATAGCTTACTAATACACAGGGGAGAAGATCACAACCTGACAGGAACCAGAAGAGTCTCTAAAAGATAAGAATGCTACCACTGACTTGGGAGCCAAAAAAAGAGAATAAAATTGTTTTTTAAAAGTTTTGGTAACTTGGGACAGATAAGAAAAGCAGGTTACCCTTTCCTTGTGGAGAAACAAAATCTATCCTAATGTTACCCATCCTTTAAAGCTCAACTCAAACCACTTCTCCAAAAAGCTTTTTTCTGATCGCCTTAGGTACAATGGTCTTTCCTTCATTAGTTATGTACATACAGCACATTGTTGTGAAAAGAGGCCTGGACTTTCATCAGTTAAGTCTAAATTCACATTCTGGGTGTATCAGCTATGTGTCCTTTGGCAAGTTTCTTAAATCTTTGAATCTGATTGCTCATATCTTAACTGGAAGTTAACAGCTCTCATTCCCTCAGGACAGCTGTGGAGAATTGGATTCTAAATGTGGTGACATATTAAACCCAAAGTACATACTCAAAATGTTCAAGTGCATTTATTTCATTCATTCACTCGTTCAACTTTGATGGATTCCCCGTGTGTGCTAGTTACTAGAACAAAAGAAACAATTACTAAGGTACCACACACAACTGCTATCTAAGAATAATTTTTCATGTATATAGCCCTCAAATTAGAATGAAGTTAGAGATCATGCCTTATATCTCTACATACTTCCCAAAAGTGTGTGACAGGGTGCCTTGAACTTAGTAGTTACAAAAATACTTGCAGACAATTTGACTAATCAAAAAATGGTAAGATTTCTACATATAATGTTTTTTTCTTTTTTTAAATATATACATACTAGAGGCCCGTGCACGGATTCGTGCACCGGTGGGGTCCCTCGGTGTGGCCTGCGGAGATCGGGCCAAAACAGGCAGTCCAACGCTATCTGCCACTCCTGCGCCTCCTGGCCCCGCTGCGTCTGCCACCACCGCTACTCGGTAGGCTGGCTGCTGCTCTACTGCGGTCTCTGAGTTGAGGCGGCCAGCCATGAGCCCTGTGTCTGGTGCCCGTTGGTCAGCAGAGCGGCGCTCCCACTGTGGGAGCACACTGGCCACCAGGGGGCAGTTCCTGCTTTGAGCGTCTGCCCCCTGGTGGTCAGTGCACATCATAGCAAACAGTTGCTTAGGGTTTTATATATATACTAGAGGCCCGGTGCACAAAAATTTATTCACTCGGGAGGGGGGTCCCTCAGCCTGGCCTGTACCTTCAACAGTTGCTTAGGGTTTCGGGGGATGACCATCTGCTGGCTTAGGCCCACCCTCCGGGAGATTGGGCCTAAACTGGCAGTCAGACATCCCTCTGGCAGCCTGGGAGCCCTCGGGGGATGTCCACTTGCCAGTGGGGAGCAGGCATAAGCTGCAGTCGGACATCCTTAGCGCTGCTGAGGAGGCGGGAGAGGCTCCCACCACCACTGCTGTACTGGCAGCCGTCAGCCTGGCTTGTGGTTGAGCAGAGCTCCCCCTGTGGGAGCACACTGACCGCCAGGGGGCAGCTCCTGCATTGAGCGTCTGCCCCCTGGTGGTCAGTGTGTGTCATAGTGACCAGTCATTCCCAGTCATTCTGCTGTTAGGGTCAGTTTGCATATTACCCTTTTATTATATAGAATAGAGGCCTGGTGCATGGGTGGAGGCCGGCTGGTTTGCCCTGAAGGGTGTCCCGGATCAGGGTGGGGGTCCCGCTGGGGTGCCTGGCCAGCCTGGGTGAGGGGCTGATGGCTGTTTGCAGGCTAGTTAAGCCCCCCCCAAGTGGGGACCCTCACCCCATGGAGGTTTGGCCAGTCTGGGTGAGGGGCTGATGGCTGTTTTCAGGCTGGCCACACCCCCTTTAGGGTGAGGGGCCCCCACTGGGGTGCCTGGCCTGTCTGGGTGAGGGGCTGAGGGCCGTTTTCAGGCTGGCCAAGCCCCACGGCGATGGAAGCTCCCAGCCTCTCCATGTTTTCTTTTTCTTTTTTTATTCTGAGATTTATTTACCTTCTATAATTGAAACTTTGTGGAGCTCAGAGCTGGCCGCAGCAGGCGGGAAGCTTGGCTTCCTCCATCACTGGAGCAAGCAAGCCTCCTGCTCACTCCAGCTCTGTGGCTGCCGGCCGCCATCTTGGTTGGGTTACTTTGCATATAGTCGCTCTGATTGGCTGGTGGGCATGGCTTAAGGCGTAGTGAAGGTATGGTCAATTTGCATGTTTGTCTTTTATTATATTAGTTTTTTTTTAATTTCTAAAAGGAAGGAGAGGAAGAGGGAGATAGAAACAGCAATGATGAGAGAGAATCATTGATCAACTGTATCCTGCACGCCCCCTAAGGGGGATACAGCCAGCAACCCAGGTATGTGCCCTGACCAGAATGGAACTGTTCCTGGTTCATAGGTGGAAACTCAACCACTGAGCCATGCTGGCCAGGCTCTATATATAACTTTTAACATCTGCATCTCAATGCAACACTAGAGCACCATCACTTTTAAAGCCTAGCTAACAGAAGACTCACCTGACAGCTCACATCCATTCCTGCTTCCAAAAGCACCTGAACGACTGCTTTGTGGCCATTGCGTGCGGCGAGGTGTAGTGGAGTGTGCTTGCGAGTGTTGCAGCTCATTAAGTTAGGGTGCGCACTGATGATCATTTTGACTACTCTCAGCCGTCCGTAAAGCGCCGCCAGGTCCAAAGGTGTTTCCAGCTTGCTGTTCCTGATGGTGGGATCCGTGAGCTCATCCAGGAGAACGGCCACGACTTCAGAGTGTCCGTACTGAGCTGCACAGTGTAGGGCAGTTTCATTCTCATTGTTCTGTTAACACAGACGCATAAAACGCACGTTTTCAGAAATTCAATTCCTTATCAAAATGTAAACTCCATCATCTAAAACCTCAGATGCTTTGAAAATATGTTTAAGATTTATCTATTTTGATAAGTATTCTTAATAGAATTTTATATCTGATAAAAGTATGCATCATTGATTACATCAAAAATATCACATTTGATTTTTATCACTTCAATAGGGAAAAAATCTAACTTTTCCCTACATTATTTATTCCAATTTCCAAGAGTGATAAATGATTTAGCCATGTTAGTCAGCGGCCCTGCTGGGCCCAGATGGTCGGTGTTTCAGTGTGATCTGCATTGTGCATCGCGCCTCCATGACATTTGTTAATGAGAAAGATTAATAACAATTATAACACACTTTCAATAGCCTGGCTTTCCAAAAGACAAATGAGTTCGTCAATTCTTTTTTTTTTAAGTACACTGATGCTGTCTCAATGGGACTTCTTTAAAAATATATATATATATTGATTTCCGAGAGGAAGGGAAAGGGAGAGAGAGATAGAAACATCCATGATGAGAGAGAATCATTAATCGGCTGCCTCCTGCATTCCCCCTATCGGGGATCGAGCCTGCAAGCCAGGCATGTGCCCTGACTGGGAATCAAACCCTGACCTCCTGGTTCATGGGTCAAAGCTCAACTCCTGAGTCACACAGGCCAGGTGTGGCTTTTTCTTTATATGCTTAGTTTAGGACTTCTGTTCAGCTAGTCCTCAGATGGTTCGCCAGGTTGAATGCTCTGTAATTTAGCTACAAATTTGATGTGGTCATGGGAGGAGGAGAGCACAGCATCCACCTAGTCTGCTATCTTGACTGGCGTCCCCCACTAATCAGTAAATTTTTGACAATGAAAGATTTACAGAGAAGTCTCCCAAATTAAGTTTCATTTTATTTTCCATATAAGTAAGAGAATGAAGACATACGGGTGCCCTAATATGAAACCAAATAGAAACCAAAACACAAAGTATAGAAGTGAAAAAAGAATCTCCTTGGGAAAGACTTTTTTTATATTTTAATTGAACTGTTCAACATCACACAAAACAAGTGCTTCTCTTTAAAACATACCATTGCAGTCATACCCCATTTAAAATTGTCAAGTTTCAAATATAAATGAATTCTAGATGTGTGTTTTTTCTTATTTTCATGTCATTTAAAAAATATTTTGTTTGTAAAAACTAATATCCTCTTGTTTAACCTTGGATTATTTTTCCATTTTATTTCAGGTTTGCTTTGGGGCATTCAGACAATTATTCAGAATAACCACCAGATGGCTCATACCACAAATGATCTTTTAACTTCTGGTTTTCTGAAGAACAGAACAGCATTCTCATACATTTCCTTTTAGTATGATACACTGAGCCATACCTGCCTTTTTTTTAAGATCAGATTTATATGTGTACTCTCATAAAAATATTCTGCATTTTTAACCTGTAAACACAGACATTTTTATTGTGATAAGTATTAATAAGACATTTCCAATTAATAAAACATTTTTCTTGATTAGTTCTTCCTATTGTATTTTGGAAAAATAAATTTTTTTTCTTCCTTTTGCTGTTTATAGCTAGTGATAGTGTTACTTTTTGCTCTTTAGTCTGAATTTCAACCAAGGGCCTGCAAAGTCTGTATCTATTTGAACAATATGCTAATTATACTTTATTAGATGTGCCTGCCCTAGAGTAACCTACTTGCATTGATATTGGACAGCTGCCAACCTGCAGCTTAATGCCATGGTTGAAATTCAATTGTTGGACTGCATGCTGGTTTTCAAATATTGTTTTACAAAATGGGAACAGTAGGGGGCATGCAGAGCTAAGATGTTTGTTATCATACTGTTTTAGGAGACTTTATTCTGCTTTCTGGAATCTGTGGTCTTATTTATTTAGAATACTGACAATGCCTTCCTCTTTTAATATGTCTGTTTTGAGTAATATGAATATTATGCACTTGCAAATATTATGACTTTACCTATGGTATCAACTGCTGTTGGTGTTTTACTCAACTTACTCTAGGCATATGTATATATTTACGTGTATAGAAAATTTTTAACTTAATTTGTGACCAGCAACTCTATACATTGTATTTTGATTTGCAAAAGGCACTTACTGTGAAGGTGCTATGTAAATGGTAAAGCACTATACAAATGATAGTTATCATTATTTCCCTAGCATTTAAAATTTTACTAAGAAAATCTCTAATTCACACTATGAATGTCAATTCCATTCTACCTTTAAATATTCAAGAGCTATAAAATCGATGCTTATATAAGGCAGGCAAAAATATCACAACTACTTCCCTTAGGTGGGGTTTTCTTGTTAACAGATATCTTAACAAATGCCCAAATTAGTGCCTATGTACTGTATACAAATGCCAAAGAAATTTTCAAATTTCCCTTCAGGAAATTCAGTAGTGGAAAAGTCTTTGGCAGGGTAAAGACAGAAGTAATCAAATTTTTTCACATTCACTTTTTAATCTCATTTTAAAATAACTTAAGTTTTCACTTGTGGCTTTGCCTTCTCAAAACTCTAGAAAAAGTATAGCATGAGCAAACATTTGACAAGTGCACCTGTTCATTGACTCGGGAATGCGATGGCCCATGATGAATAAGAATCTTCACAATTTCCTCATCTCCTTTCCAGGCAGCCAGGTGAATAGGGAAATAACCCTTGTTGTCTGCTACATTTGTTGATGCCTCATATTGAAGTAGTTTGAGAACTATTTCCCTAAGAAGAAAAAGAAAAAGAAGAAGAAAAGCACACAACAGAAAAGAAAATGTGCTAAACAACACAGATTTTATTAAATAGATCATTATTAAAGTATAGTAGATGCTGGGTGGCAATTTAGCATAATAATTCAAGGTACTGAGGTGTAAAATTGGGTTTAAGAATCTGCTTATTGAACATCTGGCTGTTGTACTTACCTGAAAAACCGCCACTGCCACACACACTCACACAGAGTGTTGACTAACCAATGAAACGACTTAATAGAAGTCATTTGGGGAAAAAATTATCTAATTTCATTAACTGAATGAATTAAGTAAAATAATTTAAAAGTATACCTCTTCCCGTTGTTTTTTTTTAATGTAGTTCCTTCCAGATAGCCCATACCTGAGATTTAGCCTAAAGAAAAACCTGAGGTACAAGCAAACTCCTTGCTTATTTTTTTAAAAAAAGTTATTATACTGCCAGCAGACATTTAGGGAGTTTATGTATCATTCCTATTGAGAACTGCAATATGTAACTGAAGATACATAAGATACATATACTGTATAAGAGAAAGCAGACAGCACAATAAGAAAGGGACTTTTAAGGTCTAGCTGCAGTACAAGCCCAAGGTTGGGTGGGGGGGAGTTTAATTCATTTTCAGCCATAGCACACAATATACTTTGAATATGTATTGTCCATACTTCTGCACTCATTCACCTTTGTCCTCTCAAGCCTAAGAAATCATTTCAAGAGGTAAATTCATTTATGCGACAAGTTCTATCATTGATGCAATTTCAGTACATACTCAATATATCCTACCTATAGGATTTTGTACTAAACCCCACCAGGTTTTCAAAGTAAAAATTCTAAATTGCAATACTCAACCTCAGGCGGAATTAATTCATAATTACTAGTATAATTACATTGAGCTTTGCAACAAACAATCAAAAACAACTGAGCAACTATATTTTCATTTGGATGCATTTAAAAAGCAAATTCTATTAATTCACTAAATGAAATCCTAGATAGATAAACAAATACGTGCAGACAGACAATCACAACATATTCTAAAGTTGTTTCTCATATATAACAAATCACCAGTGGTGAGGATGAATGTAACATAAAGACCTACATTTAAATATTTCATAAAGCCAGGCTTTAAATGTAACAAATGAGAAAAGGTGGAGGAAATTTGAATAGGAGTTAGAATTCTGATAGCCCACTGTAGGGGTTTAGAATAATGTGCCTTTGTGGTATGTGGATTTTTTTGAACTAAAGGCAATTGAGATCTTGTGGGCTTAAAAGAAACGTCTGCCCCCCTTACCCCAACTACCTAGAAGAACTGAAATTAGGGGTATTGCCCATAATAAGAGTTATTATCAGAGATAACCTCTTTTGACCTATCTGTATGGCGTGACAAATATCTAATTACTGAACATCTGGTTTTTTATTGGATCTGCGAATGTCCTTCTCTAGTTCTGAAGCCTCAGGTGTCGAACTGCCTTCCTTAGCTCAGGATATCATCTGTACCTCATTTTGCCTGTCTCCCTCTGAACAACTCATGATGTGGGGTCTCTGACTCTCATATATGTGAGGTTCCCCTACGTACGTATATAATTAAATTTGGTTGTTTTTCTCTTGTTAATAGTCTGCCTCATGTCAATTTGATTAGACCAGCTGAAAGAACCTATAAGGATAGATAAAAATTTCTTCTTCCCCCACATCACAAAAAAACAAACATGACACAACACAAAATGACAGTAAATGATTAAACACACACACACACACACACACACACACACACACACACACACACACACACACACAACATTGCCCAGAATGTGGCCTGGAGTTGTGAAGGAGAGCAGAATATACCACCCAAAAATATGCCTATTTGACACAAGAATAATGTTAGGCTGATTACTTTTAAGATTGGGGGGAGCTCTGAAAGCTGAGAAGTTACTCTGTTGTAAGAGATGGTTACATTGATCAGGGAAATGTCTATTTGTAAGGGTATCTCCCTCTGTGTACCAGCAGGAGAAAGCTGACTCGATCTCTATGAACTCTTATCAATGGGGAAGGCAGTAACCTAAATCTGCAGACAACCCCATACGCTTGTTTACTGTGCTTTTTCTGATAACCTCCCATAACTGGCTTCCTCCCTCACTCCCCTGCCCCAACATCTTTTGTCTTTAGCTAGAAATGGTATTTAAGGTAGTGGCTTTTGGGGGAGTTACTCAGTTTTCCTGGGTCCCTACCATATATACAGGAGTATACATGTTATTACATTTCTGTTTTCTCTCCTCCTGTTACTCTTTTTTTTTTTTTGTCGTTGTTGTTTATCCTCACCCAAGGATATTTTCCATTGATTCTTAGAGAGAGTGGAAAGGAGGGGAAGATAGAGAGAGAAACATCAATGCGAGAGAGACACATCAATTGGTTGCCCCCCCCCCCATGTGCCTCAACTAGGGCCAGGGATCGAGTCTGCAACCGAGGTACGTGCCCTTGACCGGAATTGAACCTGCAATCCTTCAGTCTGTGGGCCAATGCTCTATCCACTGAGCCAAACTGGCCAGGGCCTGTTAATCTTTCTTATATCAACTTAATTATCAGACCAGCCGAATAACCTATAAGAAAAGAAGGAAAACTTTTTCCACCCCTGCACCACTTTCCAATATCTCAATCAGAAAAGAGTGATATGCATGTTTATGCAATGGTCTTTGGTGAACAATAAGATCTAATTAAATACTGTTATTTTTATTTATGTTTTTAAAATTTTATTCACTTTATTAAATTTGTTTATTTTTTAATTTACATTTATTTTTAATTTTTATTTAAGTTGATCTTTTCATCTTATTCAGAGATATCAGCTAATGAACTGACTTGGCTTAGATTTCTAATGTGAAAATATGTTTGTGAAATATAAAGTTATATCTCTAATCAAGTAAGTGCCTTACTGAATCATAAAATATTAATCAACAAATTGTCATTAATCTTTTTTTTGATGTATCCATGTATGTCACATTTAATATGTACTACACAGGCCTTTTTCATCCAAACTCATTCAAATTAAATTTCAGGTACTTTCTATAATATTTAAATTTAAAAAGTAGTTAAAATCAGGATCCCGTCAAATCGGTATTTTCTCTTTTTTTAAAACTATTTTCTTAGTATCTCTTTAAGTTATACCTTATAACTTCTAGAGGTATCAACAAATAAATAGGTTGACTATGCTTGGTTACCTAGTAGAAAATACTGAGTTATATTGATGAACAAGTCTATAGAATAGCAAGCAGAGAAGTAATTCCTATTTATCTTCAACATTAAATGGCACTCTTTCTCATATGCAGCATTAATAAATAAGAAATGATTTAAAATTCTAAAGTAAATGTGATTGATGGGATCATAGAAAAAATAAGCCCATTTCCCATGAGCTAAACAACATATAAAATAAATTTAATAATAATCCAATTCAAAGCAATGCAACATTTTGCAGCTTGAGGCTAATATATATAAGTTTGGGTGAAGATAGGAATTCTAAAAGTGTTGATTTTCACTACTATATCATTTTCTGATAGGTATAAATATACTGCCAATTAATATGAAATGCTTTTTTAAGAAGTTTCAGTTTATGGTCAGAGTAAAATGAAACTAATTGGGAAGGTTCAAAATTCAAATTTTTTTACCTCAACAGCAAGTTTTCTTATAATTAAATTATAACCAAAGATTTTTTTTCTTTTAGGATTTTTTTATTGATTTAGAGAGAGAGAGGGAGAAGGACAAAGAGAGAGAAACATCAATGTGAGAGCGGAACATGGATCGGCTGCCTCCTGCATGCCACCTACCGGAGATCTAGCCTGCAACCTGGGCATGTACCCTGACCAGGAATAGAACCAGCAACCTTTTGGATGATTTAAAATTCTAAAGTAAATGTGATTGATGGGATCATAGAAAAAATAAGCCCATTTCCCATGAGCTAAACAACATATAAAATAAATTTAATAATAATCCAATTCAAAGCAATGCAACATTTTGCAGCTTGAGGCTAATATATATAAGTTTGGGTGAAGATAGGAATTCTAAAAGTGTTGATTTTCACTACTATATCATTTTCTGATAGGTATAAATATACTGCCAATTAATATGAAATGCTTTTTTAAGAAGTTTCAGTTTATGGTCAGAGTAAAATGAAACTAATTGGGAAGGTTCAAAATTCAAATTTTTTTACCTCAACAGCAAGTTTTCTTATAATTAAATTATAACCAAAGATTTTTTTTCTTTTAGGATTTTTTTATTGATTTAGAGAGAGAGAGGGAGAAGGACAAAGAGAGAGAAACATCAATGTGAGAGCGGAACATGGATCGGCTGCCTCCTGCATGCCACCTACCGGAGATCTAGCCTGCAACCTGGGCATGTACCCTGACCAGGAATAGAACCAGCAACCTTTTGGTGCATGAGACGATGCCCAACCAACTGAGCCACACCAGCTAGGGCTAACCAAAAATAGTTATTTTGTTTCATCTCCCTTTGCTTATTGGCAGTCAAAAGAACTTTGAAATAAATGCAAATCATCTTCATATGCATATGGTATTAACAAAACTAATGAAATTCTTAAATTCATGAAGGTTCTGTTAATTTCAGACTTTCTTGAAGATTTTACTTCTCCTTGATGGAAATAAAGTGGCAAATTTAAAGAATTTAAATTAGGGACCTTGCCTGTAATAAGAAGTATTACCAGAAATAACTTAGGACCTATCTCTATATAGGGCAGGGCAGACTTCTATTTACTGAACATCTGCTCTTCTTATCGTACTGACAGTGACCTTTCTCCCCTCTGAAGGCCCAGGTGCCTTACCTCATCCTTAGCTCAAATGTCACATATACCTCATTTTAACTTTATGTCTTTGAATCTCTCACATATATGGGGTTCCCATACATATGTCTGCAATAAATTTGGTTATTTTCTCTTGTTAATAATTTGTCTCATGTTGATTTGATTACTAGATGAGTCAGAAGAATATGGAATGATAGAGTAAAATGCCTTCCACCCTACACTGGCTAATTACTATGTAAATTAAAAGAATCAAATTTGTAGTAAAAATACATGAGAGAGATAATGAAGTTTCCATATTTAAAGAGATAGGTCTATAGCTTATCGAAATAATTTATCTATAATTGTTGCTACTGGATTTTGTTCTACTGACCATGATTTTTCTATCATTTTAAGGCAATAATTCTCTAATTTTCAATTACAAATACCCCAAGAAATCATCAACAGAGTATATTTTCTATTGTGTCCTAATCTGGCTAAGTGGAGATGAATTGTCCATTATAAAATAACGTATTTCAGGTACAAAATGCTGCTCCACTTGTGGATTAACTAGTGTTGATAAACAAGTGCTACCAAGAAAGCATACAAAGTAAGAGGAAAAGGGCTTAATATGCAGTAAGAAGTCCTTAGATTATATGTTGGGAGTAGGAAAAAAGCCTGCATTCAAAGCAAAAATAAAATAACTACAGGACCCTGTAACATTATTTCTAGCTCTACGATTCCATAAACTTCAGCCTAAAAATCACAATGTTTATGGAAACCTTCTAGTGCTGATGGCTACAACAACAATAGCAACCCACGTGGAAATGATGTGTTTCCATGCTGACTGCTAAGGCTTGCTTGGAAAGAATACAACACAATCAATAGTTCATTACCTATGCTAAGTGAGAATAGCAAAGGCAAAGAAAAGAAAAACCTTCTCTGGCTCTGAGATATATTCTATGACGTTTTTTTCTCCTTCAAATGACTTAAGACAATAGTAAAATTAGCATTCCATGTGAACACCCTAGTTGATGATAATGGGAGGCAGCCAGAAATGCACAATGTGACAGAGAAAAGCCAGCGAGAGTTTAGGAAACTGATGTGTGTGTGGACAAAAAAGGGAGATAATGTAGAGTGTTGGTAAAATCATACACTTTAAACTACAACACTTAGGCTCTAAACACAACCCCACCTTAATATCTAAGTGGCCACTCAGTCACTTATCCAGAATGGCCTTATTTCTCCATCTATAAATGAGGGCAGTGAGGAGGGTAAGGTGAAATAAATGATCTCCAATTTTAAAAGTCCATGGGTAATTTAAATAATTTAAAATAGGGCAATCTTATACTTTAGATGAAAATCCAAATTTTAAAGTTGTAGCAGCATAACTGATCCACAAATAATACGAAAACAATATACCACAAAATATTATAATTGGAAGAAACAAGGAAAAATACCCAGTATATTAAACTGAGGCCTAGAGAGGTTAATTAAATGGCTCAAGGTCACATAACTAACAGAGATGGGAAGACAGGATTAGAAATTTCCTGCTTTTTTCCAATGCCTATAGAATGACACTGAGTAAAATCTCTCTAGAAAATGTTAAAAAGGTCAATGAGATCTTCAGATAAGCAAAGCAGAGATATATAATTCTCAGAGAATATCTGCAATTAGAGAGGTCTTAAAAAATATCTAGGTATCTCTTTATGATGATCTTAATAAATGCTATTCAATGCACTTAAATTAGCTTCACTTTGTGCATTGCCAACAGGAACTAAAAATTATGCATTGAACCACAGAGCAATATATCTCAATGATTAGAATTTCATAGGCCATTATGGATACATCATTAACATTTACTAAACACTGAAAATCAAGGAGGGATGTGAACGCTAATCCATTTTGGGACAACATTCTTTTGAGAAGTGCTTATACTGGCAAGCTGAGATAAAAGGAAAAAAGGAGAATAGGTCACATGGTCAGGCCTCAGATCTTAGGTCAATTATTTGTCAGCTGGTGTTCCCACCTAGAACTTCCCGAAATCTAACCTAAGATGGCCCGAGAGGCCGTCAGCATTGAGTACTTTGGGCTGATTTAATCTGGCTTCATTCCTGAAGAGCCATATTGTATATGGCACAAAGAAAAATAAATAGCAATTCCTTTAAAAGATTCAGATCGTAAGGATCTGGACACATATTCCACTCTACAGAAGGACAGCAATATAGTTGAGAAAAACCTGGCAAAATAAAACAGTTCTAAGTTAGATGACATAAGATGACATAAAATAGGGAGTGGATGAAAAACATATATAATTTGGAAATACTGATACTAAGAATCCAAGTGATGAGACATTAAGTTTATGATATTTTATGTACTTCAGATGGCTCTCCAAAGAGAATGTTAGATTTATGCAATAATTTTTAAAATAAATAAAAGGTATAGTGAAACATAATTTTTAAAAATGGTAAGTTTCCTGTGTGAGAACTTTAAGGCCATAAAATGTGATCAAATATGACTAAGTCCCTTGTGTCTCAATTCAAAGTTTAAAAAAAAGGCGGGAAAGCAAAAAGTAAGTAGAATTTTAAGGCAGTAATTGCCACCTTTAATAAACTAAAGTGAGCCTGGCTGGCATGGCTCAGTGGTTGAGCATTGACCTATGGCCCGGTCAGGGCACATGCCTGGGTTGCGAGTTCAATCCCCAGTGTGGGGTGTGCAGGAGGCAGTCGATCAATGATTCTTTCTCATCATGGATGTTTCTATCTTTCTCTGCTTCTCCTTTCCTCTCTGAAATCAATTAAATACACACACACACACACACACACACACACACACACACACACATATATATTTAAAAAAAAAAAACTAAAGTGAAATGAAATTATCCAGACTTGGGAAGACCAACTTGGATCATGAGAACAAAGGAAAAACAGACAAGAGGAAGAGACACGTGAAAAGTGTCACTTTTCATCTGAATCATTCGGAGAACGCCTCACACTTTGACTGTCACTAACCCAGGAGGTTACCTCGCTAAAACACTGGGAATGAAATGGTTGCTATGGTTACACATTCTTTTGCTCTTCATACTGTACACTATCACATTCTTTGAAGCATAATTCCATAGGTTACACAAGTTTAAAACCAGAAAGACCATCATGAATGACAAAGAAAAGGCACATTAGCTAAATTTGAAGGATTTTGGAGTGGTTTGTGTAAGTGTCCGTGGCTCATAACAGCAAGAATCTATTAAGATTTCGCTCCTTGTGAATAATTCCATGTTAGGTAAAGACACCAAAAAAGGTAGGGTGGTGTTATTAAGTGGTTTGATGCCATTCCCTCCCCAAAGCTACACATGACTAGCATGTCCTGTCACTTCTTTCATTTTCTCCCTGTGTGACATCTGACTAGTTTAGAGCAGGTCTCTACATTTACACCCTGCACATAATCATCCTCAGCAACGTTCCTACCAAGTTCAACGTGTAGGTGTTGCTACCTGATGCCTCTCCGAGTTTCTGTAAGCCCAGGGGACTCATGGCAACATGAGACAGCTATCGTCAGACATAATGAACTCCATCACATGTAACGAAATACACAAGGATTCCAGTCCAAATAAGTGGCACTTACTTATGTCCATTTAAGGCCGCATGGTGTAAAGCAGTGTAACCCGAACTGTCTGTGCAGTTCACATTGGGGCCTCGCCAGATGCTGCAAATAGAGCACAAGCGCAGAGTTAGCGGTTAAGCAGAATCGTGCTTTAGAAAACAGAAGGATGGTCCCACAGCCAGCAGCCTGTGGCACATGAAAAGTCTAGTCATGTGAAAAATGATTGCCGTCTTTCATACACCCCCCTCAGATCAGTAACTTCATTTATTTGATTCAAGGAAATTATTAGGGAATATAACTACCTCCAGAAATTATTAGCAAATGCAGGCCCTCTGCCAAAATCTGGATCCGCCCTAGCCGGTTTGGCTCAGTGGACAGAGCGTCAGCCTTAGGGCTGAAGGGTCCCAGGTTCAATTCCAGTCAAGGGCACATGCCCGGGTTATAGGCTCAATCCCCAGTAGAGGGCGTGCAGGAGGCAGCGGATCAGTGATTCTCTCTCATCATTGATGTTTCTCTCTCTTCCTCTCTAAAATTAATAAAAATATTTTTTAAAAATATCTGGATCCAACATTTCCCTATTACTTGATACCATTACTCAAATATTGGAAGCAATTTACCATCAGCTACCATATTATAGACTAAAGACTAAAGATTTATGACACCTGCCTCTTCCCGTTTAACACACTATTCTGAGATGGCACTGATTTATGTCACTTTTAGGATTACTTTTGCATTATGGGAAGAATATCCTGGAGATAACATGTAACTATATAAAAGAGTCCATTGTAACCTTGATCACTAAAGTTACAGAAACTATTTCTAGCTATTGAGTAAATAAGGCATTGAAAGACACTTTTCCAAAAGTAGACCAAAAAATGGCTTTATCTAATGCTCATGATGATATTAAAGCCATCCAAACTAACATCTAATAACAAGTTAATTCATGTACTCGCAAAATATTGATTGTACCCCAACTGCACGTTACATATTAAAGTTAGGCACTGAGAGTAGAAAATCATCATTCAAGGTCCTTCTTTACAAGAACAGGGTCTAGACATATAAACTCACAATTACAAAGTAGTAAGATACCTGAAGTACCAGAGAGCACACAGGCTTCTCTGAGAAATAAATAGCTGTTCCCAATGAGAGATCATAACTGAATTAAACTAAGGCGGGATGATAAAAATGAATACAATGTACTTATTCAAAATTTAATTAAAAGGATACTTTTTTCTTTTTCAATTACAGTTGACATTCCATATTATTTCATATTTGTTTCAGATGTACAGCAGAGTGGTTAGACAATTATATAATTTATGGAGTGATCCTCCTGATAGGTCTAGTACCCACCTGGCAACGTATATAGTTATTACAATATTACTGAGTACATTCCCTATGCTGTACTTTACATCTCCGTGACTGTTTCGTAGCTTCTTAATCCCTCCACCTTTTTCATGTGGCATCGCCCTCCAATCTGGCAACTCTCAGTTCTCTGTATCTATGAGTCTGTTTCTGTTTGTTCATTTCTTTTGTTCTTTACATTCCACATACAAGTGAAAAGACATGGTCTTTTTCTTTCTCTTTCTGACTTACTTTCTTAGCATAATACCCCCTGGGTCCATCCATGTTGTCCCAAATGAACACTACCTGATTTTAAGGCTATAATAAATCTCTAGTAAACAAGACAGATAGCTTGGTATTGGAGGAAAGACAGAATGAAGGAACAGAAAGTCAATTTAGACTTTCACACATATATGCAATTGATTTTTTACAAAGGTGCAATGGCAATTCATTAAAGAAATGAATTAGCAAAAAAATTGTTCTGGAACAAATGCATATCCTTAGGCCAAAATAAATAAAAAGAGTCTTGATCTATACCTTGCCACATACCAAGATTAACTTTAAAATGAATCAGAGCTCTGGCCAGGTAGCTGGGTACATTAGGTACATAAGTTAGTTGAGAGTGCAATCCCTGGTCGGGATGCATACAGGAGGCAACCAATCAATGTTTCTCTCTCCTCTCTCTCTCTCTCTCTCTCTCTCTCTCAAACATATTCTCAGTTGAAGATTGTTTTTTTAAAAAAAGCAAATTGCAGAATATTGTGTATGTTAATATCCTAAATGTTTTATGTCCGTGTATTAAGTCATTTATATCCATACAATGATAAAACAGATACTATCCTTTTTTTAATTAAACTGATTGGGATAACATTGGTCAGCATGAACTTATAGGTTTAACAGATACTATTCTTATTCTCACCGTACAGATGAGAAATATTTGCATTAACATAGAAAAATGCATGCAAAAATACATTATTCACCTCTAAATTGTTTGAAGAGTCAAAATTATCACGTAATTCTTCAAGGAAACACAAAAAAGACAATAAAATACAAGAAGAGAAAAGCCTAGGTTTGCTCTAGGTTGTGAAGAGCCTTATAACATGTCAAGAAGCTTAGTCTTGATTCTATAGGCAACTTGGAGCTAGAGGATTATCACAGAGGTACTAAGCATGTTTCTGACATGATCAGATCATGAGGGCTCTAGCGACAGCTGGAAGGGAAACAGTGAACAAGTTGGCGGCAGGGAGTCAGGTTCATTGTCTGTTTTTACAGTCTCAGGGAGAAACAAAGAAATTTGGACGAATGGAGATACAGTGGTGGATAAAGAAGAGGGGGAAATTCAAATAGGTATGTCTAAAATAAAACCGAAGGAAAATGGTATCCACACGATAGGCTAACAGTCAAAGGCTCCCACCATAAGTGAAATGCATGGATGATGAGATATCTCCGTGAAAGCAGTGGTGTCTTGTGGGGAAAGGCAAGTTTCCTTTAAAACAGACTTGAACACTAGGTTGCTCCAGAATACCTCTGGCACAGGATAGAAAAAAAAAGAGAAAATACTGTAAATTAACTCAAATTATTTTTTAAATTTCCTGTATGTTATGAGACCTCATAAATATTTAGGAAGGAAAGATATTGATATTCATAACTAAAATAGATTCAGGGTCGATAGATTTCATTTACCTATACCATCTCAGTTCCCCATTACCAGAAAAACAAGGAATTCATTATATTAGTATGAAAAAAATATCTCCAATGTCTTTCTCATTTCCTAGACAGAATGGAAGCGGATAGACTTTTTTTTAAAACAAGGAGGTTTAGAATAGAAATTTAGCATTTGTATATAAATATATCTGACTGCACCTATTACCAGAGCCTCTAGGCACATATCCATATATTCATAGAACATACACACACGTTTTAAACACTATAAATAGGCCAGACCCAAAACTTCCAATTAAAGGCTTACTTTAAATAAACCTTGATGTTTAAAAGCTCAATCAGTGAGCTAATACCATTCCAGCTTTTTGCACTGCCCTCCTCTCATTTCTCTTTGATGATCCTGGGACTTAAAAAGAGGGCCTGTGTTATCTTAAGGCTGTTCTACAAAATGCAAGAGTTCTAAGTACCTTTAAGGATGTCTCAAAAAAGTTTTAAATAATTAATTACATATTTATTCAAAAAAGGCAATTTATAGATCGTTGGTCTTTAATATATTTGTATTGATTTCAGAGAGGAAGGGAGAGGGAGAGAGAGATCGAAATCAACGATGACAGGGAATCATTGACTGGCTGCCTTCTGCGCACCCCGCACTGGGGATCGGGCCTGCAACCCAGGCAGGTGTCCTCACTGAGAAATTGTACCATGACCTCCTGGCTCAGAGGTAGATGCTCAACCACTGAGCCACGCCTACCAGGCATCTTTGGTCTTATTGTAACATACACACAATCTCATCTCCTATACCTACTTGTCAATATTTTTTAATTTTTTATGTGAGAAATCTTGCCCAGAATGAATGCTCTGAGATCATCAGAAATCCCCAATGACCAAAGATTCAATTTCCTTTGTTATACTATTTGTACTAATATAACAAATAGTTATATCCAATGATTAGTATGTTTTAAAACAAATATAAACAAAATAGGTTTTCCACAGAACTTTCAAATGACCAGACATTCGTCAAAGTTTTCACATATTAAAGAAGATTATTCCTAAATAAATAAAAAACCTGAGTTTGTTGGGCCAATATTCGTATGTATAGCAAATAAGATTTAGGCACAGCTACTCCACAAATTGATCGTCATTATGCCCTCTACCAACCTATGGGAAATATTCATCAGGAGCCACATAAGAGTGCTCAGCATTTCTTAATTCTCATCTGACTCATGACACTTGAGATCACTCCAGGGCTTCAGATACGGAAACTCATACAGAAGGTGCATTGAGTGCCGCAGGCCAGGTCAGAGTATGTAGGAATGGTCTTCTGAAAAATCAGATCATTTCAAGCATGCAAAACAAAGTCCCTATTTTTTTCAATTTGTATCTTAATATTCCGCTCCCATGTTTGCAAGAATTGGACAGATGTGCACAAGCTATTGAGTACTGTACGTGAAAACAAGGATCCTTATGAGTTTGATTAAATTTAGCTTTAAATCCTAGCTCTAAAAATCATCTCTTTCTCTCTCTCTCTCTCTCCCTCTCTTCCCCCACTCTCCCCGCTCCCCCACATATGTGTCTGTCCATCAGAGATCTAGCCTTTCCCCCCTATAATCAGCAACCTCTGAGGCAGCAGAAGACAGTAGCTGGACCTAATAGTCACAAGATCCAGACCTCTGGCAGGCTAAAGACAACATCTTGACTTAACGTTATGTTTCAGCTGCTCTAAGGTGGAATGACCCCCTGTCTACTTTCCCATGAAACCAGACAGAGGGACCACAGAACAGACCTCAGAACTGTCAACACCTTAAGAAATGATTCATTACCCTTATCTCATCTCTGACCAATCAGCTCCCAGCACGACCCAAATCCCTAACCCACAGCGTCTTGTGATTTTGCCCTATATAACCTATAATGTATAGGCCATTGGGCAGTTGAGTTTTGAGCATTAGCTTCCCATTGTCCTGGATGGTGCCATTCATAATAAAACAGCCAATATTTCTCCACTGCAATTCTTGGTGTCGTGTCACTGCTGGCACCAGTGGACAAACTCTTTCTCTTCTATCACATACATCCTCATCTTCTATAGTGATGATATAATTTTA